ATATGGAGAAGAAAACATACCTATTTAACATAAGTTGTGAACAAGCATTATATTATTTCTGTATTTAAGAGAACTTGTTTTTAAAAACAATGTCTAATTCACTTCTTATATTACTCACTTATTTTTTTATTTATAAAACAGATGGTGTTAACACATTCACAATTGATGATCTAATCAACAATTTGTTAAATGAACATACTTAAGTTAAAGTTGTATTTAATAACATTTTTAATACTCACATGAAAAACAATTCACATACAAAAATGTATTGAAATTGTTAGATTATAGATATTTTCTTGGTATCTACGATAGGAGAGGAAGGTGAAGTTATCATAATAAAATTAGGATAAAGTATACAACTCATAGTTGCAGCACAAAGAAAAGTGTGAAGATGTCTTTCCTAATTACTGCTATCAACATTGTTCCCAGCTAATAAAGGAATAGCTGCCTGTGTACCATTGCTTCAAGTGTAATTAAATTTTCTTCTCTCCTAATTTACCATTGCTTCTGTACAAACATGGAATTTCTGCTTTTGAATATTTAAAATCTTAAAAACAAACCTTTAACTCTTGATAATAATTTTTCTTAAAAATTGCTTTAATTTTTACTGTAGCCTAAATGTACAATTTTCATAAGTCACTTTGTTTCTTGAATTTTATGTTTCTTTTTTTTTATATATGGTCACATTTTTAAATTGATGGTTTGAAATCATTTGAGTTACTTTGAATCATGTTTCTTCCTTGAATTTAGAGGAGTGCAAACATTTTATATGCACTAATTCCAATCTCATTCTTAAATGTTTTATCAGTAAAATTCATCAATCTAAAGTCTCGACTCATACAACTCTATAATTGCAAACATACAATATATGGATATCCATACATGTCCACGTTACAAAAATCATTTCAAACAATGGTTCAAGGCACAATAACTATAAATTTTCACAGCTACACCTTCTTGTGACTTTTAAGCATGAGGGTTAATTACACTGACATAAAAAAATGAGGAATTTGATTTATTCTTAAAGGTTATGTGACACTGACTACTAATACATACGTATTTTCAATATAAAACAAATTTGTATCACATTTTTTATCTCGCACTGTATGTAATTATAAAGTATAATAAATGTAACATTTTCCTCTCTATAAGATGGTATTCCAAGAAATTACTTCAGCATATAAAAATTAACTAATCACAGATTGCACATTCATACATAATCTCAATAAACAGAGCGAAAAAAAAAAAAATATATATTTTGTATACACTAGATTTACATTACTACCAAAAGATAATTTGCATCGTGTTTTCAAGAATGTGTAAAGCTAAATAATACAGGGCAGGCTTACTATGAATACATGACTATAACTTTGAACAAACCTAAAAGTTTTATTACCAATGTATTCAAGAAATAAGAAAAACTACCCATAACAAAATCTAACAATCTTGTTATATAATCAACTCTTGATTAATGTGATAACTGAGCAATAACTGACAGTCACTAACTGATGCTACAAAATCAAAAATATTTTAATTTCTTAATTATTTTTACATGTTTTTTTTTAAAAACATCAGTTTTCTCTTCATGTATGATTTTTACTATTAAGAAATGAATCTAAATACGAGTAATTTATAATATTTTCATGGCAAGGTAATTAAGAAACATAAATGGACACATTTATATTATTTGTATCATTTAACAATACTAAATTGTATTTCTCAAGGTTTTAAAGCACACATGACATTTAAATTAATAATAGTATCTGTTCTTCCTCCTCTTTAGAATCAGTCAAGTTTGTAACAGCTTAGAAAGGTTAATATAATAGGCCTACGTTGTATCCACAAACTCATATTAGTTTTCTCATTCTGGCTTGGCAACAGTGTACCTTGAAAGTCAAAATACCTTTAAAGTGACACTTATATACTATGTCTTCAATGTGGAGGACTACATATGGATGGCAATTTGTAATTCCAAATCTCTGAACATTCTGTTTTAAGTGGTATGAACATCACAGTGAAGGTGACAATCAGCTTAAAGGATGTTGTTAAACATTTTTAATAAAGTTCTGAAATACCATTTTAAAAAAAAGATCAGTTAAGTATCACAAATTATTAAAGAACTCACAGCCAATTTCATACAAATCTTCAATATCATGAAACCATTTTTAATGATGTTTACGTAAAATATTTTCAACAAACTTTTTCAGCTCCAATCAAAATGATTATTTGTCCCGATCCCTTAATTTTTGTAGCACTTTGATCACTCCTACTTCATGTTTATCAATACCAGTATGTAAGATTGCAGAGCATGTATAATTATTTCTATTTAAACAGCAAAATGATTGAACTATCAATCAAAAGCTTTGAAATTCACCTAACTGTTTTCTGTAACAAGAAATACAATTTACAAGTACAAATCACACATTTGACTTGTTATACTTATAATACCATACTAAAAAAAAACGTGTACAATAATAATATGAGTAGATAAATCACAATTCAAGATAACCTGAGCCTTATGTTCTGAAAGAACTCTGGTTATTGGGTTTCTTGAATTGTGATTAGTTCTAGTAATTTGTTAAGGATAATGTATTCATTATCCACATAATTAGTCATATCATAAAGTATTTTTCTGCTTTTTAATTAAAACACTAAGAAGTAAGGGCTTTGTACAATCATAAGTTAGAAAATTTAATCTCAACAATAACTGTACAATGTAATTGTTATGGAAAAATGTTCAGTATATCTGTAACCATAATACTATATATACACACACACAAACATTGTACATCATATAAAGGGATAGAATAACCAAATATTTCTAATTACCACTTGTAATGATATGTGCTATAAAACTTTAAAATTCCTGTGACACCTTAAACAAAAGAAGTGATACATACGATGTTATAACTTTTATGTTTGATTTAACAGAATTATGAAAAAAAAAAAAACTTTATTATTCTTTCATTTACAAATTATTAAAGGAAAAATATGTGATTTCAATAGGAGAATAATCTCTTGTCAATTTGCTAATATTTATGTAGTACAAATATTAATAAAATACATCCTCAGGTAATGAAAATTAGGCTCAGTAGAAAATACAAGATCAAAAGAATGTTAAATCACATGAAGCAAGAACAATAAAATGAACCAACAATATTACTGACTATCTAAAAACAATATAAATGGATGAGAGGAAACAGGATTAAAAATTATTATTTTTTTAAATTAACATTCTATTTGTAAGATATAAGATGACTTATATTTAAAGCAGGTATCATACTCTCTTCACATTCTTTGAAAAGGTTACTGCTTATGTAGATGAGGATAAGTGTGTAGATTTGGTGTATCTGGATTTTCAGAAAGCATTCAAAAAGATGTCACATAAAAGGCTGGTAAGAAAAAAAAATCTTTATAGGTGTGGGAGATAAGTAAGCTAACTGGATAGAAGAGTTGCTGGATGAAAGAAAGCAGAAGGTCATTGAAATGAAGTTCAGTCAAACTGGATTAATGTCACAAGTGGGGTAACCTCAAGGCTCAGTCTTAGGACCTTTGTTCTTTTTGATTTACATTAATGACATAGATGAAGGAATGGCCAGCAAGTTACTTAAACTTGCTGATGATATTAAAGTCTTAGGTGTTACTGAGTGTGAGGAAAAAGCTGCTGCTTTAAAAATGGACTTAGATTATTTAGTGAGTTGGGCAAATAAATGGCAGGTGGGTTTTAATTATAATAAATGCAAGATAATGCATGTAGGTTATCATAATTTGAATTATAACCTTAACAGCATTATGAAAGAAAAGGATCTTGTTGTAGTGGTTGGTCAGTGTCTTACGCCATCCAAGCAGTGTGTTGTTGCTAGTAGTGCAGCAAATTGGATTTTAGGTTGTATTTACAGAAATACTGAATACACGTCTAAAACAGGTTATAAATTAATTCTATAGATCACTGTTTAGGCAACATTTGGAGTATTGTGTTCAGTCTTAGGTTCTTTACCTTAGGAAGGACATTGAATTGTTGGAAAGGGTTCAGAGGAGGGCTACTAGAATGGTGCCTGGGATGGTGTGGTTTGTCATACAAGTAGAGGTAAAGATCTTTGAAATTGCTTTCTCTTGATAAAAGAACTGTTAGAAAGGATCTAATTGAGGTGTTTAAGATTGTTAAAGGACTTGGGTGTTGATGCATCCTCTTTTTTTCATTCTTAATGGTGAGAACAGTAGGACTAGGGGACATAAATATAAATTTTGGCAGGGCAGGAGTTATCTTCAGCTAATACAGTTATATTTTTCTAACATAATGGTTGGCTTTGGAATGGGTTGCCTTCATATGTTGTGGAGGCAGTAAATTGAAGTCAGTTTAAGAGAAAACTGATAATTATATGAATGATAAGAACTGGCTTTGAGATTTTTATTTAATATTTTTAGTTTAGTTTATAGGATGGGACAACCTAGATGGATCAATAGCTTCATTGTTGTCTGTAAACACTATGTTACTTTAAACAGCGTCTTACAAAAGAAGATTCTACCAACAGGTCAAACCTAAAAATTACTTTAAAACCATCCTTTACATTAAAAACATTTCTTTAAGATGAAGAATCATTTACCTATCTCTCTTTGCTCTTGGACTGTTAACACCTACATTGGAAAAACAAAACATTTTTGTTATCCACATCCATGAGCATTTTGGTGTATCACTTAAGTCAAATAACATCCTTTTAAGTTCAGCCACTTTGGCCATCCAATCTTGTTTAACTTTGTCTTTATTCCCTAGAAACAGTATGAGTAAAGAAGGAGAAATAAAATTAAGAAATTTAAATTGTATTGATAATGTTGTTAATTAGAAGGTCAATTGATCAAAAGAGTTGCTTTAAAACAATTGTAAAAGAAGACAGTGTTATATTTAAAATAGGAGATATCCATTTCTTGGATACTTTCTTTTATTAATAGTTCAATTTTGGAGTTACCATTTACAAAGAATGAATCCCAAGTGAGTCTAAGTCAAAAAAGTACTTTGAAAAACAGTATCAATAACAGCCAAGCCAATCCTTATGCATGTTTATGAAAATAAAAAAAGTCAAATGGTCATTTCGAAATTTGTAATTTTATACCATTCCTAAAATATAGGACTTTTTTTCCCCCCTGTTCATGTATTTTTCTGCCTTTTTTCCAATTGACTTTTTTTCTTTGTCTTTACCACCACCACTGATTTCTAGGTGGTCAATAATATTCTTGGTTAATGTTATTGTTCTTGCTTCATGTGAGTTGTTTCATGTTTTATCTTGTATTTCCTATCAAGTTTAATTTTTATTATTTTCTTATGCCTGAAGATGACCTATAGTAAATATAAAGGTCAAAACACTGCATTTAAATATTTATATAAATATTGTATTTAATTAATAAAAATCTCTTGAACAGTTTTATTAGAAAATATTAAATAGAAAGATTTGATATTTAAAATAAATGTGCAAAACTGTTTAGACTGGATTCATTTCCAGAAGGCTTTCCAATAACCTTTATAAAAAAGAATTCATAAAATTCAAAAATAAGAAGAATGTATTTAAGCAAAAAAGATGAATTAGAAAACTTTAACAGCTTCCATTCATTAAACTCTGTTAGATACAGAAATTAAATTTGCTATTGATGACGAGCCAAATATGTTTTTCGTTCTCATACACTTTCCTTTGATTGAAAATTTTCTTAAACATAGTGTTTTACCTTCAACAATATATTAAATATCAATACTCTTAGTTTTCTTTATTATCAAATCTAAAGTTTTTTTATTTTCTGAAGTGATATGTAATGAATAAGTTTCTGTTGAACTACTGGTGAAAGAAACGAGTTGGTACTTTCCTATAAATTCAGCATTTTTCCCCTTTCAACTACCAAGAGCCACACACAGTAAATTTCAATGTAAAATCCAAGCAATATTTCAGTAATTTTTCTTCTAGCACTGAACAAATGTGCCCTTGAAAGAGGTTCTTGATTAAAATAATCTCACATTATTCTGAAAGAAATAATAAACTGAACAATTTGTGCTTTATTTCTGTTCCCCATTTTATTTATTTTTTCATGGAGTATACTATAAAAGCTGACTTCCAGTGTGTAGGTATACAGTACATGTCCAAACTCTGGTTAAAGCAAAACACGCAAATGCCTTAAAATAAGAATGCAAACTGCTTCATTGTTAAAGTTTTTTTTTTTTAAATCAAAATGTGTGTTTTCTCTGAATACTGCAAAAACTATGATTATGACCTATTAAGAATGATTAACACCAAATAATCACAGAATTAAGAACCTGAAACATTACAAACGAAAAGACACAAATATGCATAATTTATTAAAAAAAATAAAATTCCTGAAAACAAGAAAAAATAACATAAAAAAAGAGAAAAGTAGGAATGTCAGAACTCCTCTTTCCTACAAATAATCTAGTTTTGACAAAATAGTTTGAATTTAGATTTTTTAGGAAAACCCAAATTAAAAAATAAGCAGCATTGTTGATCATGGAATATAAGTACAGTAAAAGTATTTGGTACACATACACATCAAATTAGCTTGTAAGGATTTACTCAGTTTAACAGTATTCTTGTAAATACTACTTTAATCTAAAAGTTTCAAACTATTTACAATCAAAATGACAAACTTTGTATTCCTTTCATCCACACTAATAGTGAACATGTTTATAGTAAAACAAACACCTTGTTCTCCAATATTCAAAATCTTATTATGATAAAGTTGCTCTTATTTACTACAAGACAGTTATATACACCCTTTTAGCTGTTTTCCATTTTCTGAATTTTATGTACTTTGTACTTATATACATGCATATAGATATACATGCAAATTAAGACAATGTGCTTCATCATAAAAACAGTACTACATTCACCACTCTACAAACAGAAAATAAAACCATTAACACCACAAGAATGATTATAATTACAACACGAACCTTATTCACAAGTTATTTTAGGTTTGGCCAAAATATTCTTTCATTCTTAAAAAACAATTATACTTTTCCAGCTTTTCTTTCAAAAGTACACGATAAAGAAGGTAAATTCAAGTGATACACTTCATAATGTATGTAATAGAACTATTAATACGAATTATCAAACACACATGCATTTAAATGATGAGAAAAACACCTCATACCTGTAAATGACATCAGTTTAAGTTAAAAGTTACATATCTGTTGCAAGGGTTTCTAATATTTTTAGTGTTTCTACTGAAGTGGCCTTAAATAATATGAATATTTTATTGACAGATAACTATAACAGTCAGTATGAATTTGTCAAAATTTTACTTTAAAATGATCTGCACAAATATGAGTCACACGTACAAAAAATATTACAGATACATGTTAATGCAGACAATGGTCAGCTGATTAATAAAGTTTATAGTGAGGTGTACAATACACTGATATCTAAAAGCCAACAAATCAACCAACTGATTTAGAAAAGAAAAATAAATTATTTTTAAAAATGTGTCAGATTTTATAGTCCTTTGTCCAAACATTTATATATTCCAATAGGACACTGTCAAAATATCACATAACATTTAATATAGGAAAGCCCTTAATAGGTAGGCCAACACTAACTCAGAGAAGCATGCAAGTTTTATCTGCAAGCCAAACAAAGACACAAGCAGCTGTTTACTACTCCAGCTCTTCTATTTCCTTATTCTGAAGTACATTCTGATTTGTTTGATCATTTTCAAACTCTACAAAGTCATCAAATAAACTTGGCCAAGCTTCTGTGTCATCATAGCAGCTGAGATCATCTCCAACAGATTCTGTAAAGTTCAGAAACATATTCCAAGTATCACGTGGTATTCCTCGAATATTTGGATGTTTTTCTAAGAAGACAAGCCATCGTTTGAGAATTGAAGGTTCTTTTATTGAGAATATAAGTTTCCACAGTTGTATTGCCATTTCAGCTGGGAGGATCCGCTGTCCCACCTCGAGACCAAATCTATATGTAAAACGATACAAATCTTTGAACTTTTCAGGATTCTGTACTTCTGCTAACATCTCTGGAAACTTGGAACGTATTCCTTGAATTGAGTCAACATGTAGAGCTTTACAGCCAATCACAAATTCTTCATGTGTAAAGCAACACATCTGCTCAGCACCAAACTTCCATGCTAAAACCAGAACACGAAATTCTTCAGGCTTAACGTCAAGGTCTTGACATAGTCGTTCTATTCCTTCTGACAATATAGCATCTTCTTGTGAATCTTTATATTGATCAAAAAGAGCATGAATCTTGCTTTCTGAGTAATCTCGTCCTGAATGACTAGACCTCTTTTTGTCTGTGCTACCACTACGGATTGGAGGGATTCGAGGGTGAAACATCAATTTTTCTGCAAAACCAAGAGTAGACTTGGAAGAGGTGCTTATATGCATTTCCCCATTACTACTAACCACAGGAGCACTGAGTTCTCTGTTGCTGGATCTTAAAATTTGGCTCCCACCACAATTGTTAGATGGTACACTAGCACCTGAAAACTCCACTGTCCGAGAGGACTCTTGATGCTTCAAGTGTTTCTCGGGTACTGATCCTGCTTGATTAGACTGACAACAAGAAAGGCACTTCCCCATTGGTTGGAACACTGCAGTAAGCAGGAAATTACTGCCTACTTATAACGGATCATCCCCAACCTAGATAAAAAAATATCCACTCAATGCAAAGTATTTTTGAAACATTTTGATTTAATTATTATAATGAAATAATTAATTACAATTATTTCCTCATATATCTATTATTACTGTTTGCAGAACAAATATATAATAATATTGGTTTGGTTTGTTTTGAATTTCGTGCAAAGCTACACAGAGGGCTATCTGTGCTAGTCATCCCTAATTTAGTAGTGTAAGACTAGAGGGAAGGCAGCTAGTCATCACCACCCTCCGCCAACTCTTGGGCTATTCTTTTACTAATGAATAGTGTGATTGTTCATCACTTTATAACACCCCCACGACTGAAATGGCAAGCATGTTTGGTGGAATGGGGATTTGAGCCCGCAACCCTCAGATTGTGAGTCGAGTACCCTAACCAGCTGGCCAGGCTGAGCCGTATAATAATATTAATGCACTAACACTTTTAAACCTACAATAAAACTTTCATAAAACCTGACTTGAGACTTTTTCACTAAATTGAAGTAAGGAAGCAAATTATATTATTTTCTCAGATATTATACACATGAAAAGCACAAATCAAATCAATTATAAATTATTTGTATTAACTATACAGAAAATATGTCAAAAATGATGTTATATCTCCATATGGTCATGGTGAAAAACTAAACTTTTAAAGCAAACATCATACAGAAGTATTAAACCAAGGAAAAAATAAAAAATGACTTAAAAATAAGTATGAATAAATTTACAAAAGTAATTCTGAAAGGCATGTTTTGTAATATACTCTTTTGCTGATTAAATTTTGTGATCATAGAGTAATTATACCCCCCTCCCACACACACAAAAGCTACAACATATTCAAAATACACTGAGTACATGAAGTGTCAAGGTTATTGCTAGAGTCCTATAAGTATAGAAATATGTTTAGTCATATAATGGCTATCCTACAAACACAATCAGTTTGACAGATTTCTCGGACTTGAATGTCTCAGCAGGAAAATCTTCATACACTGTCTAAAAACATCTGTCATTCAAGCCTTAAGAAAAGTGGCAATTTAAAGGGAATGTGTCCATCACTAGAACACAAATTGCTGGCAAGTGAAATAAAAATTAACTTGACGTGTTTAAAAAGTGCACCAAAAAAACATCTCCTTCATACACTGTCCAAAAACATCTGTCATTCAAGCCTTAAGAAAAGTGGCAATCTAAAAGGAATGTGTCTATCACTAGGACACAAATTGCTGGCAAGTGAAATAAAAATCAACTTGACAGGTTTAAAAAGTGCAATACACTAGTCCCAAATGACCAATTTTGTCAAAAGTGGTTAAGATTTGACTATCTCAAACCATACCAGTGAGAAACATTATAAAACTGCACATGGTAGCCAACAACCAGTTCAAAATCTTTTACTTTGAATTCAAACAGAAAATCAAAGTTCCAGAGTTTCCAAATGTGGTGTAATTTGATAAGTCACATTTCAAATTTTCCTATACTGAGAACAGAATAGAAATATGGACAAAACCATTAGAAACATGTGTTCAAAATGCTAAAAGTGGAATAACTGTATTGTAATGTTTTTGTGAAAGGAAATGGGTTCTTTGATTCCATTCAAAAGTCAAATAACATTCAAAGTGCATTTGAACATTTGGTTAAGTCCATCTTACAATGCTGCATTTCCACCCTCATAAACAAGAGTTATTTAACAACAATACTGCAATAATTCACTATGTTTCTTTCCTCCAAATATGGTTCAAAAAGCATAAAAACAACTACAGTCATCATTTTCATCCAGCATAATCTCAGGAAGATAGTATTCAAATCAATTGAGCATCAATGGTATGAACTAGGGTGTGCATTTGCCATCATAATCCTCTACTAATGTTCATGAACCATTTGCAGACCATACTTCTCTACAAACAATTAAACAAGCCACATCCTACATTTTGATAAGTCTATTCCAAGCCAAGTTCTGGTTAGAATCAGTATAAGAGTACTGACCAATAGGTCAGTCAGTGCTCATACATGCATTAAAAGTTTGGAATTCAAATATTATGTGACCTCATAGGTTGATGTACTTTTAACTGACTCTTCCATATCTGTGTTAGACTGATTAAATTAACTACTATAAAAATATATGACAATTTTTACAAAGAATTTATAATGTTGCACATTTTGTGGGTGACCTATAGCATTAAACAAAGAGGGATAAGGCTGATACACATACCTCATTAAAGCAATGTTGGTAAGATGCTGTGTATATTTTACCTTTTCAGAATTTACAATCAAGTCATTAGTCTCTAACTCTAATAATAATAATGTACATTTATAACAAAACAACATATTTCATTTATTTTCTCTCATAAATGTTTATTGTTGGGACCAAAACATGCTTATATGTATAATATAGCATGTTTTGTGGAATTTACTTTGGCTACTTTATGTAATCATGAAAACAATGGATAATGAGTATTTCACTGTTTGTCAATAAACAACTTACAGAGTGATGCCCTGTACCATAATTCTGGCATACTTGTCCATTTGCATTCATGACCTACTTTTTTTCACAAACAGATTTCAAAGATTTCATTTTGCTAGCTGAAAGCTGATATATTTTCCAAGGTATATGATCCTGCTTCCTTAACTCAAACAAAGAATTCTTACTACAATGAATTGTAATAATTTTAGTATGGTAAGCAAAAAGTAGTTTTCTAAGCAATCATCTAATCGTAACAGTTTAATACTATGTTAATTAGTCTTTTACCAATTAATTAGCCATCAGCAACACCAATTTTCTTTTAAGAAACTTATTATTAAGTTTTTTAAGAATAAAGTATAATTTTCTCCCCAATACACATTTATATATCTTCAGAAAAACTATTTAGCAGGTGTGGGTATTTTCTTTGTCATTCTTGTAAAATTACACTCATATTAGTATATCACATTTACATTATCTATTGACAGCACTGCAATGTTTACTTTTTTTTTCACTAGGATTTCTCACTCAGATATCCTTGTTCAGAACTTAAAAGTTAAGAAACTTCAGGTTGGGATTTAAGAATAATAGCAATTCTAAATTTTGTGGAAATTATCAGTTTCTCTTTTCCCGATAAATGTTGTCAGCTCTAAGAAATGGTATTCACTATACACACAGCTTTCTGGAACTGACAGAAATCTTCGTGCTGCTTAAGATTGTATTGGAAATGAGACATTGCTGAGTTTTCACCACAATAACAGATTAGACTGTCATTTTAAAACTGGTTGAGGTAGGTATAAATTAATTTTACTAGCGACAGGAGCTTCCTTGCCATGATTTCTTTGAAAAACACAATTAATGCCATAAGAACCTTCAGATATTTCACGAAAGCAATCCCAGAATGAGTTATGTGTCCGCTGCTGTAGACTCTTAACGTGTGGAAATGCTAATGCTGTGGAGTCATTATGTTACTTCCACCATTTTTATCTTTAACCACATCTGACTGTGATATTAATAGTGTCAGTGCTTTCTCCATATAACTCTGTTTCTCATTTTAGATCTTCTTATATTTGCAAAATGCTACTTTATAGTACAAAGCTAATAATACATTAAGGTGAAATTTGGATTTCTTTGTAATTCAGCAAATATAATTTCAAATCCTCATGCCAAGCATGCTTTCATTATTCCCAGAATAAGGCAATTTGCATTATCCTTCAACAGATAACATTAAAGAGTAGTCATAGGTGGGATAACTTCTAAATGCTAGACTTTGGTAAATACGTAAGAATCATCAGATTGGCTAGTTGGACTTGTGAGATAAGATTAATGGAAGCTTTTTGGAATGGATGGTTTACATTTAAAGAGGGTAGGGGTTGGCTTGTTTGCAAGGGCAATTAACTCAGCTGTAAGAGAAGTTTTAAGCTAGGACTAGACAGTAGTGAGAGCCACGATAAAATAAATGCAAAAAAAGATGTAGAAAAAAGTTTAGCATAGGAAATGAGTACATAGTTCTAAGAATAAGCTTAATTGTAACTACTGTAATGTTAGAAATATAAGAAATAAAATAGATGACTTTAGAGTGTTGGTAGTAATGGAGGATTTTGGTATAATGGGGAAAATTGAAACATGGTTAAATGTAGACAATTATGATGACAGAAATTTCTTTGAAATATAAGGTTATAGGTTATTTAATAGGGATGTAGTACTAAAGAGAAAAAAGGAGTGGCTTTATATGTAAAATATGAGTTACATCCTGTTGAAGCTGAAGATATCAAAGATAATAGCAAGGAGATTGAATCCATTTGGTTTCTATTAGTGGATATAAATTGAAAAGGCTTTTAGTGGAAATTTATTACAGACCACCAGATGATACTGATGGAATTAATTAGAAACTTTACATTGAGATTAAGATTTCAACTGTTAATGTGGTCATAAATATGGTTGATTTAAACTTCAGGCATATAGACTGGCAAACATTAGAGTCAAACCACAAGGGAGAAAACCATCTTGAACAGTTTCCAAAACCTTGGTAAAGGAACCTACTACAGACAATGATATATTAGATTTATTGTTAACTCCTAATATAGATGGTGGAAAGTGGGGAACATCTGAGTGCAAGTGATCATTGCTCCATTAGGTTCGATGTTTTGCTGCATATGAAGATCAGGAATAATATTTTGGTTATAAATTTCAAAAAAGCAAATTTTCAAGGGATGTGACAGGAATTATCTGTTGTAAATTGGGCAGCTAAGTTATTTGTGGACATTATATATAATGTGGAAAAGTTTTAAATATTCAAGATAATTGTATCCCTTATGGAAAAAAAAAGGTGGCTACAAGTAAAAAAACAGGTTAGCTCACAAAGGGTATAAAGGATATAATTAAAGAAAAGCATCACAAACTTAAGAAATTTAAATTGACTGGTTTGATGGGAGATTTAGAAGATTACAGAATATGGAGAAAGTTGATCAAGCAGGAAATTAGGACATCAAACAGGATGTATGTAAAAAGTTTGACTCAAAACATAAATATTAATGGTCACAATTAC